AAAGTGATGTTAGCATCGGGATAACATTTTATAATGATTGAAGCAAATCTATCGTGATTACGTATCACCTCTTCTTCCAAACTACTTGTAATAAACCTTCTTTGGTGAAATGTTTATCAACTCTTTTGTATAATGATTCAAAACCTTTTTTGATCTTTTTTTTTTAATGAGAGAATATTATGTAGATATATAATAAATATGTGATAATTATAAATGAATAAATATTAATAACAATAACTTCTTTTCCAGGATATGAAGATACGATCTTCTTCAAAGCAACTTTATTATTTGAAGTCGAAATCCAACTTCTTCCGGAGCAGCGGTTGTCCTTAGCAAACTTTCTATACCTTCAAAAAATTCCTAATATAATATAATATTGATTAATAATATATTGATTAATAAAAATGATTAATAATATATTAATAAAAAAAATAATAAATAAATAAGATATTATAAAGATATCAAATAATAGAATTTAGAACATATAAGAAATATAAGACATACCAGCAATTTACCAAATGGTTTTCTAACAACGGATTTAGAATAAGCTTCTAAATGTTTATAATAAGAACTTCGAGCAGATCTCATGAATTGTTCTAAGGCCATAATTTTACGAGTACGAATTTCACTATAAAAATGATGTGTATTTTCTAAAGTTATGATGTGAGCATTTATCATCCGCCGAGGTTGGTAAAAATTCATCGGCATCTTTTGCTATCGCATCTAAACTTTCGAACACGGTCTTGACAATTCTTTCATAACCTCTGTTAACTGTTCGACGGATTTTTAGTAGATCGGCGGATTTCGTGGAGTGTTCTACAAATCTCTATTTACATATATATCATCATAATATATTATTATATATCATTGTAATATATGTATATGTATACTCACCGGAAATATTCGAATGAATATTACTATACCCTTTCGTTTTTTCGGAGTAACTTTTGTATCCTCGATAGCTCGAAGTCGTTCACTATTTTATTAATAAATAAATAAATAAATGATACGATTAAATAATACTATAACATAAGATATATTAGATATATAATATAAGATATAAGATATAAATTTATTATACTTACAATAAATTTCCAAACAATTTTTCTCACATTTTGTAATATTCTAACTACTTGATCTTGACCTCGCTTTTCATATTCTTGCATATGTTTTTCCAAAGATACAATCATTCCTACCACTTGTCTAAATATAATAATAATAATAATAATAATGTATAGATATAATGCAAGATAAAGAAGATAATGTAAATAATTTATAATATATACAAATGTATAATATATAATAATGTATAATTTGTATAATTTACAGTGTCATGCTTGCAACCATAACTAGCAAAAAGAGATAATTCATCCGGTAGAAAACCAAATAACTTTTCCATATGAATAATGAAGTGATAATTGATTAATTATAATTGAATTATGATATTAATATCGTTATTGTTATTTTTAGCGAACATTACTTACGGTAATTTATGGGAATTAAGATCATTACTATCTTCTTCAGCATCTAAATCTTTAATAATAGCTTCTGGTGAAACTAATTTGGATCCTTTCTTTGAAAGATGAAAAAAACTTGAAATAAAATTTTGTTCATTGGCACTAAAGGAATTATAGTTTGTAGGCAATGATCAAATGACTATATGCGTGTATGTGTTAAAAGAATGACTAGTTTATATAATAAAATTATTATTTAATTTATATAATAATAATTACTTAATTTATATAATAATATTACTTAATTTATGATAATCTTATATAATTTATATTATTAATGAAATCATAAATTACCTCTTCAAGTGGAAATTTTCCTCCACCATATTTAACTTCCCAAGATGGTTTTGCATTGTCAAATGATAACCAATTACCGTAATTTAAACTTGTTCGATGAGTATGTGCTAATGCTGCGTCACTAAAGCTATTAATAAATATATTAATAAATATAAATAGATTATTAAGTTAACTATATTATTAAGTATATATATATATGATTCCATATATCTTTATATATTATCATTAATTAAATTATTAACAATAAAATTAATAATAAAATCAATAATAATTTACCATAAGTATTTTCTCCGGATAATTCTCTTTTTTACCAACATTTGTCTCATCTGTTGTAAATAATCTTTAATTTCTTTTTTATAAGCTTTTTCTTTTGATGTCACATAAATTGATTGTATTTCTAAACGTCGTTTGGGATCCACCTCTTTACATAAATATCAAGGATTATCAAAATGGATGAAAGATTCTGCGATATGTTCATGACTTTTATCGTAAGATTATTGTCTAGCTCCTCGACTTTTATCATTCATTAAAATTTCTGCCTAGGATTATTATTATGAATTATTAGTCATCATAATCATTTAATCATCGGATGAAGTGTAATTTATTTACCTGATATTGAAAAATGGATGTCATATATTCATATAAACGTACTTTCATTTCGCGTGTTGCTATTAAAATAAATAAATATATCAAAAAATATATATTATATAAATATATATATTGTCATTATCAATATAAATCAAATATAAACAGACCATCATCAAATGGAGTTTCCAAACATGCTTTAATTGAGTAGCTGCGTGTTTGATATTTTGAACACCTTGAGGTGTATCCATGCATTAATATTTTGATAATCTGATCAGAAAGTGTGATTGATTGCTAATATGAATTAAATTAAATAAATTAAATAAATTAAATGAATAAATTAAATAAAACAAAATTTAAGTTTGTTATTATTATTATTTATTATTATTAATTATTATTATACCAGTACGATCACGCTACATATAAAACATTTTATTTTAATAAGTAAATGTCAAAACCTATGCTAAGTAACCTTAAAGATGCGAATTACGTGCTATATTAAAAGGATAGATTTATATCATCAAAATCGAGAGAACTATTAGCAGTTAAAGTTCGAGCGGGCAAAAAATTCTAAAAAAACAATAATTCGCTCAATTTTGACGAAATATATCTATCATTTTTATATAGTGTGCAATTTATTCTTTACTTAGTACCATTTTTTATATTTACTTATTAAAATATACCAGTACGATCACATTTTATGTATAACATGAAATGGAGAGGATGGATGGATTCAACTTTTTTGATTTTTTTTACAATATCCTTTTTAGTAGATTTTGGTTTTTTATTAACTGTAATTAATTGTTATTGCACAAAATGTGTGTAAATCTTTCAATAATGTAAGAAAATGTCATTATGATTACATTTTTAATTTAATTTAAATTTTTTTTGTTAATTTATATAATTAATATGTATTTATAAACATACAATGTTAAACAGAATATATATATAAATAATATAAAATACTGTATATAAAAATATATTTTTCTGGTATCTACTAAATTACTTATATTCACTTTCTTATATTATGCATTACTTTTCCTTTATTCTTTATTTTCACTAATGATATTTTGGTATTTGTTTTCAATACATTACTTTCCTTATTTTGTTTGGTTAGGACCCCGAAATATTATGTTATAGTCATACTAATAGTTTGCATAACCATCTTATAAAAAAATAATAATGTCATGAGAATTTGTAAAGTTTGCATGATAATATCTATTTTTAAAAAAATATAAAAATGCGCGTCTGTAAATCTTTTAATTTTTAATTTTTTTAATTTTTTGAGCCAGATTCTATAGATCTAGATAAGAAAAAATGGTAATTATATAGTTTAAAAAGGGTCTACAGAGTTGTAGGTGAGTAATACTTCATTTGGTTTATTAGTTTAGTTAAATTTCAGATGTTTTCAGGTACTAAATATTACTTTTTGTTACTTTTAGAACTAATTTTTGCAGTGAAATCGGGTGGCGCAGTACCATTATATAGTTTAAAAAGGGTCTACAGAGTAGTAGGTGGGCAATACTTCATTTATTTTATTAGTTTAGTTAATTTTCAGATGTTTTCAGGTACTAAATGCAGCAAAATCCTATGCTTATAGGCAGGTATGCTTATGTAAATTAATGATGTCAAAAAAAATTGATGTAAAAAATTATTTTTTTATTAACAATAAAATCAAATTAATATTTTTCAAATGAATAATCTAAATTATTCATACAAATCATCACTAAAATTATTTAATTCATCAAAATAATTGTCACCAATAATAATTTTAAACTTGTAAATGTTTCATGACAAATTTTTCCATCAGGTGTTATAATTCATACAAATCAGGAGGGATATATGAATTCAGATAAAATGATTTGGTGGATTAAAAACATCTGGAATTAATGTGCTATAAGATCTATTGATCCTCATTCATTACTTGTGCTAGATTCTTTTTGTGGTCATTTAATAAATTCTGTAAAAAATAGATTTGATAAAAAAAATACAAATTTGGTCATTACTCCTGGTGGTCTAACAAGTAAATTACAACCACTTGACGCAAGCATTAATAAATCATTTAAAAACAAGGTATTTTTATTCTATTAATTTATTTTTTATTAAACTTATCTATTATTTAATAATTTTATTTAATAATTTGAAGTTATTAAATTAAAATTATTGAATTTTATAGTATCACCAGTGTTATAATGATTGGATGGCTAAAGAAATAAAAAAATTAACTTCAACTGGATGTATATAACATCCTGCATGCAATTTAGTTACACAATGGATAAAAATTTCATAGAATAAAATCAATCCAATACTTATACAACATTCATTTAAATGTTGTGGAATATTAAACTCTCGGGATAGCTCAGAAGATAAATATATTTATGATTATGATTGGATAAATGGAAAAAGCAAAAGTGATGAAAATTTAGTATATTTAGATAGTGATATAAAAAATGACAGTGATGAGATTAATAATGATTGTGAAAATAATGATAAAATTGATGAAATCAATAATAATCATGAAAATAAAGATGGTGAAAATAATAATAGTGATAATAATAGTAATAATAGTGATAATGAGAATGATAATAATAGTAATAATAGTGATAATGAGAATGATAATAATAGTAATAATAGTGATAATAATAGTAATAATGGTAGTAATAATAATATTGATAATAATAGTGATGATGATTATTATAATAATGAAATTAATTTTGAAAATTTATGGGAAGATGTATAATATAATAAAAATAATAATAATAATATAATAATAATGCAAATAATATAATAATAACATAAAAAATATAATAATAATACAAATTATATAATAATAATAATAATAAAATAATTATAATATAATCTAAATAAAAATATTTTTTTTCATCAAATTCAATTGTTAAATATAAAAATATAATAAATATAATATCATATATTGTACCTGGGTACAACATACCCACTATAACACAAACCTATGAGATATATCCAGGTACATTTTACAGAAGGTACTTTACTCTAAAGGATACTTTGGCTAGTGAATTAGAGTAATATAAGATATACTTGCATGCAAAATTATTTTGGGACCCTGAAATTGCAATTTTGAGGAAAAAAGTTGAAATAGTTTTTCATAGAAGACAAAATTATTTTATTTAAAACCTGAAATTTTTTGATTATCCAGATTTATTCTTGATTAAAGATACATATAACTGGGTACTTTTTTTACTTTCATATATAGAATAGATTCTGCATAAATCTCAAAAAGTTGAAATACTTCAAAAATCCAAATCAATTTTGGGAACATGTATAATATGAGATCTATACCTTCTTGAGCATGTATCACTTACTTTTTGTGATTTCTTGCTCTTTGTTTATCTAAATTATCTCAATTTTTGTAATATAAACTATTATAATTATAGGTCTGGATCCCTTGATATTCTTATGCCAATTTTATCTCTTTATTATATCTATCAAACCTTAATTCACCCAAGAACTTTGAAGCATCTGATAGGAATTTTTTACTTAGTAAATTCTCAAAAATATACTATAGCATCATTTATCAGAGTGATAAAAGTAAAGTGGACACCACTCAAACTTTCATTTCAAGACCTTATAAAGTACTTTCCACTGATAGAGTCCATTTTCACATAACCAAAGTGTAACAGTTTTGACTACATTATAACTTACGTAGTTGACAAGTGACAACTCTTACTTGTTTCATTTATTTTATTTTATTATTTTATTTTCTATTTTATTATTTATATTTTTATCTTTGTATTTTGATAATGAATGATAGTACATGTAATTAGCTTTGATATACAATAGATTTGCAATTCCATGTGTTAATCATTTATCTTATTTTATTTTATTTCTTTTATTAT